TTTTAGAAGTTTCAGCAGACAAAACGCAAGTATAATATAAAAATCCTACGTTTGGTATTGTTCATGACGTATAATAGCTGCTTGTTAGATATGCTTGCAGATATAAGTTTCACAACTTAAAGTCAAGCCTTTAACTATGATTTTTCAAATGAATAGAACCGCTTTTTTAGTAAAAATATTGAAAACCATTGAAACATTTTTTTGTCTCATCAAAAGCCAAGTCGGCCATAGCCGATATGATGACATTTTATGGGTATATTGATTATCTCCTCTGCAATTTCATACAATATAAATCATTTTGCATTTAATTCAACATTCTTACTGATTAGCACAGCACTGATGAGTCTGGTATAGACTTAATGGTTGTCGTAGTAAATTATGAACCCCCAGTATTTTTGGCGGTTTTTTCCTCAGTCTTATATGAATGTAATAAGAATTAGTAATTGTATCCTCCTTAGGGAAAAAAACCAATCAGTAAATATCACCTTAAGTTGCCGGAGAAATAAGTTTAGATGCAGGCAAAATGGAAGCAACATCTCATGTACAGTCGATTTACCAGATGTACTTCTTCAACGTCGAGAGCAGGAAGTTGATAAAACATAAAGTAACTATTGTCACTGTATTTCTTATATTCAACTTATGACAAAATCAGTTGTAATGTTTTCAACTGTATTACATGTTGACTACGTATGTGCATGTGCATATCTTATAACCCGGAACAATGAATACGTAAATACTACTTTTAAGTTTATCTGCTTCTACATTGGGCTATATTTTGTTCCATTCATTTTTCATTTAAGGAGATAAATTCATTATGGTAAGATGTTTGTAAACAAGAACATGTTATTCTATTTGAATGGACTATATTTTTAATCGAAACAATTGAAAATAAAATTGTTATCTATGTTTACATACTCTCCTGCTGCAAACAGTGACAAAAACTGCACGACAATAAAATTTAAAAAAACCTGTTTTCGTGACACATTCAATTATTGATTTTAACTTTACAAAGTGCAAAACTTCAAATTTTTAAATCCCATTAAACGTGAAAAAATGAGGTAAAGGTTTTATATAATTTATGACATTTATATCTTAAAAGATATTTTAAATCTACATTGCATACGTTTTTCTATTGACAATATCTCCCTCATTTAAATTTTTAATGTCTTTACAAAGTTGCACCAATCGAACTAACTAGGAATTGTGCATTCTTTTAGACCAGAGCATAAACATCAACGAAGTGACATGTTATCAGATGAAAAGAAATGTCGACCTGTTTGCAATACATTACACGTGCTATTTTCAATAGATAATGTTTTATCGATATCTTTAACATCGTTATGATAACGATATCGTTTTCATCTTGATTTTACATCAAGTTACATGTCGGAAAATATACCGTTATCTATTTTAATACATATTGTGGCAATATCGTGTTGATATTTTAAATCCGTATGTTTGTATCGTTGAGATCTTGATTTTGACAATATAGTGTCAACTTGGTATTAATTTTTTTTAATGTTAACAACATTGTTTTAATAATGTGTACTTTACCTTAATGCGTTTAACTAATTTTTAACTATTTCCACTTTTAGTTGTTATTTTCAAAATGTACTTCCTATTTAATTTAGATTTCTGTTGGCTAAGAAAATCCAAATATTGCACCGATTGATAGCAATCGATTGGATATTTATTACTGAATAGCGAAAACAAACATGACAAAATTACGGTATGTATATTGAAACATCGATCAAGGTATTAATAAAACTCAACATAAGATTTAATTTAGTTTAATTTGCCTTTAAAAATGTAAACATGTGCTAGAGATGTTTTGAGTATCTAATAGTCAAGAAATGTACATGATTGTTTGCAAAATATATGCTTTACATGATTTTTAATATACAAAGAATATTGTTTATATCAGATTTTATTTGGAAACAGGTTTGTAGTTGAGTAATATCTAAATATTGCGTTTCAATCGCCCCTACAGGTGGCGTCAGATAGAACGTTCACATCCCGATCAGACATCTCAAACCGCCAAACTGAAGTCCCAAATTAAACGTAGTGCTATGATATTACCACTAGCAAGGAATGTCCTGTTAAAAATAGATGTTAGCTGCAGAAAGACCTGTATTCAAACAGTTTAGTCTGCCCGATCCGGAAAAGAATGTATAGGGGAGAATATTAGCAATGCTGTTTTTAAAATTGTCCGTTTATTGATTTTAAAATAATAAGGAAACTAAGATTTCAACTCCCTCAATCAAAGTTGACCTAAAACGAATTTGGCTATTTCTAGGTACTTTTTAGTCATATAGCTCGTCAACTGTTTCGGTTCTTATAATCCTCTGCTTTCACACATTCGGCTTTGATTGTTTCTTATAAAGGTTAATTCAGTAACGCGTTTTGGATGCATGCAATTAATAAAGAATTTATATAAAACAAACATCGTGATGCTGTCGAAATCCAAGATATAATATAACCCAATATAAAAAAAACACCTTGATATCAGAAACCCAGATTATTACAAACTAAATCTTGAAAAAAACATCTGTTAAAAAGTATTTATTGATAGACCTATTATGCACTTATTTCTGCTCAAGTTGTCCTTACCAACACAAGAAACATAATTCGTTTAAATCGTTTTACAGTCTGGATAAAATTCAGCAATACAAATCGGTTAATATATTATTCTGAATAATTATGCAAATTATGAAAGAGGGGTGAAAGAAAATGATACTGTCTGTGAAAATATAGAAAAGGCAATGTTGTCAATGTACAAACTGAAAAAAATAATAATTGAGTAAGTAAGGTCTACAAAATCTTATAATTGATTTACAGAAGATGATATTTTGCATGGTTGCACTTTGTCATATTGAATAATCATAAGTAACATTTATAGTTTTCATGATTTTAATTTGCCTTCAATGTTAGTCTAGAATTAAATCCATCATTATCATCTTCTTGTCTTAGATATTTAATACAGCATTTTAGCTGATTATGATGATATGTGACGAATGCAAAGCAGTTTCGACGATAGTGGTCCGTGTCGCCTTCCGTATAATATGTACTGTTCTTCCATTTAAAGAAAAAATATATACCATTGGGAGAATGAATAATGATTAGTCCGAAAAAAAAAACATATAACACTAAGAAAGGTGAAAACAACAATTACAAAACACTACAAAGAACAAATTAAATCTAAAAAAAAACTAATCCTTCCAAGAAACGGAGGTGACCTCATGTGTTCCGGAGTGGTTACCAGGAAATTGTTACTCTCATAAAACACTTTGATTTAACTTTAGAAAAAAACTTAACAAAGTTAAAATTGAGAAATTGCAACTGAGGATTGGTAAGTGACTGTTTGTTTAAAACCTAATACATCACGAACTTTTGAAGTGGTTATATTTACTTTTATCCAAATGACTTTTCGGGTATGGTGCCTTAGGGCATACACGTTACCTTTAAGCATACATTTTAGCATCATTACAGTCATTATCTTGAATTTTAAATTCAATTCGTTTCTTTTACATGCTAACTGTTATCTCTTTTGATAGATGTATGCGTATTGCGTATAGCACCAATCTATAACGATCTCTACCAACATAGTATGTACGTGCTAACGTGCTATATTGGATTTGGGGGGGGGGGGGGATTTTAATTAATGAATTGTTATAAATTATACATTTACTTTCAAAATTACACACTAACCAGACAAAGGTTTGTTTCAACAGTGTTTTTTCTAGTTTATTCATTTTAACTATTAACTATTTAGACTAGACTTAATCATGTTGATTTGATTTTAGTTTTCTTTTTCACGAAATGAAATGAACATGATGAAAATTAAACATAGGCGTCACTTCTATAGCAGGCAATAGTTATAACAATATGTCTAATACACCCTTAGTTAGGGTTAAAAAAAGAGTAAACAGGCGTATTAATTATAGATTAAAATAAATCCGACATTTTTTTTTAAATACAAATGGGTTATGTATTTATTGTACCTTTTGCGAGGAAACATCATTGATAGAAAACAATGAGCTTGACTTAGTATTTTTAACAGTCTTGAACTTGATATGCTATCAACATGATTTTTTGTTAATTGCGACAGTACCATTCAGGCACACACTGTTTTAAAAAAAGACACACTATGTTGTTGACTTGTTTGATACTTAAAAATATATATCGATACAGGCTTCTCGCGTACTAACAACATCAGCCGAGACCAACTTTTACAGTATATAGCGAAAAAAGTCGGCAGTAGAGTTCTGTTTTCAGACGGACCAAAAGTCTTAATGATGTGTTGGTGAGAAATCATTTATTAAAAACAAGGCTCGCCATCAGCATCCTTTTGTGCGGGTTGTTTCAACAAACGATGTCTGACTTGCAAGAAAATACTACACACCAAAACACCCTTAACTGAAAACACATAATTTCTACATGTAAATTAAGTAAACAGTATGCTGGCGAGTAAGACCAACCATTTCACAAACGTATAAATGGCTATCGTAGTGACTTTGACTATAAGCCAGACCTCCCTCTCAGTCGACAATTGAGACATTTTAGTCACTTTGAAGCAGATCTGAACAGTCTGAAACCATTATCGATGACCACAACACTTCATGATCCAGAGAGGAAGGAGTCACTGTTGTAAGATTTTGAATACAAAAGTTGAAAACGTTAACACCAAACGGGATAAAAAAACAGAGGTTGTTCAAATCAAGCAGCATAAGATGTGTTACAACCCATGCAGCTTGCAAATACTTTATCTGTATCTTGTTCACATATGTACGTATGCAAAAATTAATACCGACTGTCCAAGAAAGAAGTTAAAACGACTTATTTCTAAATTTTAGAAAACACTAGTGGTAATACAAAGTATCAAACAATCAAGAATGATCGACTATATCTACTGGTATATTACACGGAAGAGATAACAATAAATATATGTTTATATCATTCACGTACTGCGCATGTCTGTCAATAAGGACAAATAAGTCACTGGCTACGTGTGTTTTATCACTTTAAAAGGTTTAGTTGTGTCTGTTGTCGTTAGCAATTTTAGTAATAAGCTGGAATAACTGTATGACAACCTCCTATGTAAGTATTGTTGTCTGTATAGTTAGTTAAAAAAAAAACGTCCAACGGGAATGAAAACAGTAATAAGTTGAAGTAAATGGTGTCTGTTTAAATATCAACAATAGAAAAATGGTAGAATTAATTTAAGTTAACGGCAAAAAATAACTTTATGCAAATAGATGCAGATAATCAATATAAATTGTATTTTTAAATGACTTAAAGGCGTAGTGGTGAGTTATCTTACATATATATCAACCTAAAACATTTGTGGTCATGCTACTTACCTTAAATATGATAACTTTGTTTATTTAAACACTCGGGGTTGGAGTGACATAACTGTTTTTTCTACCTTTTCTTTTTATGGCACTATGAGCGGAGTTCGAATGACATCTTGTTATTGTTCGTATCTTTTTTTTTCTCTTAATATGTAGCCCCTAAAGAATGTCGGGTGCATATCGTATTCCTCCGTTTCTCTTGCCCTATACTTTTTATGTCACTCCGAACGAATGTCGGATGACAAATTGTTTTCCTCCGGTTTTTGTTTTTGTTTTCTTATTATTATGCCTCCACTCTTTGTCCGAGGCTTTTCTGGGAGACTATTGTAACAATTTTGATGACATATCAGCATATTGAGAAGCACCGTTTCAAGATGTGCAGTTAGACCTTGTAATTTTTAGAATAGTTGCCGTTTCATTGGAAACAGAAAAAAAAATGCGAAAAAGGTCAAGTGTATGATACTTCACAGAAATGACTATGGTCATGAGAAGATATGACATCTTAGTTTGAATTATTCTAAACGGCTGCCGTTACTTTGGAAACAGCCAATTTGTAAAAAACTGAAAAATGCTCCAAACTAAATGAAACCTGACTAAGATGATAACTGGCATGTGGCATCTCCTTTTTTGCTTTTCTATAGCTACGGTACATGGTACTCTCTTTCAATATTACGTGATGGTTTGATATTTCGTTGAATCTGTGTTATGATGGATTGTACCCATTCAAAGCCAATGTAGATGTAACAATCGACTTTTGGAATTTTTAAAATTGCTGCCGTTTAGTGGCAATTGGAGGGGTTGACAATTAGTTTTCTTCCACTTAATTTTGTCCGAGTATTTCCTTGGGGACTTATGAACTAATGCTGGTCAAACATAAGCATACTAAGGAATGCCAAATGTAGATGTGCCGGACGTCTTTTGATTTTCAAAATGGCCGCAGTTAGCATGGAAAATGCAAAAATGTGATTTCCTTTCAAAATTCTAAATCTTTCATTCTTAGACCAATTCGAACAAACATAAAAGTAGATTTTTCTTACTTAACATGGTAGGTTATACCCAGTGAAACATTTAGGGTATGTTGTTTTACATATGCCAATGTGGTATCTATTTTTTGGAATTTTGGACATTGCCACTGTTACCATGGAAACAGCTAAAATGTCCACAATTACTTTAAACTTAATGCAATTTTACAGAAAAATGGGCTGATATCTGGAAAGCTACTCTTTGAATATCGAGTGTGAAAATGGTTGCCGTTACAATGGAAACATTTCAAAATGATCCAAACTTAATGAAACTTTACAGAAATGTTAAGTGGCATGTGTAGATGCGGTATTTGAAATTGGAATTTCCAAATTGACCGCGGTTGCCATGGAAACTTGCAAAAATGTGAAATGTTTTAAATGCTTCAAACTTAATCAACCTTCATACAGATGTCAACTGGCAAGTTAAGATGTGACTTTTGACTTTAAAATTTTAATTTTATTTTTTAAATTGGCGAGGGTGATATTGGCAATTATAGTTAAATCATCAAACGGAGTTTTTGAGACTTATTGTTATTGTCCCGTGTGTTATTCATGTTGTTATTATCGCCGAGTTTGGTAGAAAATTGAGCGTTATAGTAATTATGACGTCATAATAAAAATGTTGATCCGCATTGTACACTTATTTCCTCTAATATCATTGTTGAAGTTATAATCAATGGTGATACAGACCATGCAATCATTATAGAATAATTCAACTTATAATAGGCTCTAAGTGTGGGCCTTATCGAACATACTCCTTCATAACGATTCATTACAATGCATAACGTTGGTTTAACTTTGGTACAAATGACCAAAATAATTATAAAGATCAAACACTGTTCATTTCATTTTTGTTCCAAGACAATTTTCAGAAAGAAATAAAAAATTAAAAAAACTTTTCTGATTATACTTGTTATACTCAATAATTCAGAAATGAAAAAAAAATGGAAGGGTAAGGCCAGAATCAGGATTTAGAATAATTTAGGAAACACAACTTTTTAAAAAAAATTATAATTATATTTGTATGCGATAATTTAAGGTTAAATGACTCCTTCTTTATTAAAATGTCAAATGACGACGGAAAGCTCACTGTGTTATACTGGATACCAAAATTGCACATTTTTTAAACACTTCTTACTATTATTTCACAACAGTAAAATATTCTTCAATATCGACTACTTTTCTTGGCATCTCATATGTTCAATTGAACTTAAAATAAAATATGCTTCTGAAAACAGAAGGTCTGATTCATATTTGGATTGATCATATATCTTAATTAATACGCTATGCATTTAGGGTACTGCATTTAAATACTTTATTGCACTTGCAGGGTTATCGAGAAGTACAAATGAACTCGATACTGAAATTATTTTACCTTCGTCGTCATGAATTGGTTGAGTATGTTTAAAAAAATGTCACAGATAGTTTGTTCTCATTCTAAGATTGTTTGAGTACCGGTGGATGGATCATATGATTCACACGTTTTTTTTTATGTTTAGTTCGGATTGATACATGTTTTACAATTTTAATATATGCATATACATGTAGTCATCTATATATATTGTTTCAGATATCGAGTAATAATGAAAACTTCTGATATAGAAGACGAGTTTTACAAGGACTGGTTAGACTGTTTGCATATTGAGCTTAATGCAATGCGAAATAGACAGTCATCTCAAAGGCAGCTAGAAGCGGATTCGAAAAGTTCGGTGCAAAAACTGGCACAGTATTCAAGTATCTTAGAAATGGAAGAAAATATCAAAAATATACAGGAGTTTTTTGGAATTTTTATTAAAAGTTTGATCAATCCATCTCGAAAAGCTAATGTTGTTAACGAAGGTAGTCTTATTCGACCCTGTGAGTTATGGGAGCGTTTTGCTGAATATTTTTTCCGTTACATAAACACGGATTTTCTTCCTGAGGCAAACAAACTACTTGTAACTCATGAAGGAAAAAAGGATGACAAAGGTGCAGACGTTAAGTGTGTGTGGAATGAAAAGGAAACAAAGAAAACTGCAGTTGTTCAAGCAAAGAGAGGATGTTTTTTCGGGACTGGAAAAGGCAATGCAATTGTCCAAGGACTAATCGGATCCATGCACTACTTTGATGCAGATATTGGTGTAATTTTTACAAGTGAATCAACTGCAGCAGTTAAACCAAGTGCACACGAATTAATTGAAAAAGCCAGAAAGCATAAATCCTTTCCTGTCTCCATATATGTAGTAGGCGTTGACACATTGGAGACCTTTGCATCTAAAAACGCCGAATCGTGCAAGAGGTTAATGGTAAATTTTATCGAGGAGTTTTTTGTGGCAATGTGAAGAATGCCTGCTTTGTTGATGTATATGGAAGTTACATGGAATGTACTATTAACAGAACATTTGTAAATATCTTTGAACGCAGATTTTTTTGTGGTGATAATAATCATAATAATCAAAATAATAACCAATAATATGACAAATACTACGCGCTCTATGTCGTCACAATAGAACTAAAAAACGTAATTATTTGTAAAAAAAGGCATAGCAAACTAAGTTAATTTTATTGATCAATTATACAGTAAGTATTTGACTATTTATTAGATGAGTTATATAATTATATTATAAATATATCTGAAATTAAAAATCATATTACGTACATACGTGTATTTTGTTATCAAAACATGTTTTATCTGTTGATACTTTTGGATCGTGACGTGGTTCTTGCATCTTTACCGATGTTCGAAGGTAAAACTCGCCATTCGTAGTTGTACTCAGTAAAAGAATTTCAACAACAGGCATTCTTCAGGAAAAGCTCACTCACGTGAATCGGCAGGAATCGAGGTGGTTGGTGCACTTCATGTATTGTATCCAATTAAGGTGCTAAATGCTGACGTTATTGCACATAAAATATCAAGACAAAAACAGCTAGCGAAACAACTAACACAATTGCCTTCTCCAAAGTAGAAACGTTTCAATCTCAGTCATGGCTGTGGAGGCGATGGTATGTTTACTTCAACCACAAAGACAAAATAATTACTATGCACATGGTAAAGGTTTCTGCTTTTGTTACTAGTAATACAGGTGATGACTTCTGTATGTTCGTCTTCATTAACTTCCGTCTAGAAACCACTTTCAAAACAAGGCTATAGTCAAGAAGTAATATAAAATTCTTATGGACGGTAACGAATGCTACAGACTGAATAAGCATTTACAATTTTGAATTTGATAAAAAAAACAAAAATCATAAGTTTAAAGATTTGCGATCGTTGGAATATATTTGGTTGACCATTAGTTCTCGATGATATCATCAGCCTAGTAGACAGTACTAAGGTACTGGCATGAAAATACCGATATTGTTTGATTGAAATTACTGTTATAAAACTTGTATTTTAATATAAATTAAGGAACATATCTCCTTAATGCAAAGTTCTTATTGTTTGTCCGGATTTTTGCTATACTTAAGATCCTTTTAGTTTTATCATATCTTCAACCTTGTAATAGGTTTTGGATATTTCAAATATTTTGCCTTCAAGCATCACTTAATAGACAGAACTATATCGAGTGGAATATAAGTGATAATGTTTATGTTATTTCTGATACATTTGTAAACAAACTATTGTTATTTAAAAGTACATTTAGACCCAAATCGAAATAATGGTTTTAGTATACACAAATATATTTGTTAACTTTTATATAATTTTAGCTTTGACATAAGCATATCAAACTTTTAAATTTTCATTGAAAGGGAATCCTATTCAAAGCAGAGATTAATATTAAAAGATGAGTCAAGCCTCTTAAAATAACCCCCAAAATGTTGTATGAAGTATAATAAAAATGTACAAAAAGCATTTGGTTTCCGTATGAGTGCCGATTGCGTTGTCTGTCAAAAAACACGTTCAAAACGTAACAAACCAAGCATTTTGATGATTGAAAATCAGACATTGTTTTTCCAGATCAAAGTGTATTAATTTTGTGTTCAATTCTTTAACATTTTTGTATCCGTTAATGCCAATCTGTTTCATAAAACAAAGTTGAAGTGATTTGTTTTACTCGTGTAAGCAGCAAAAAGGAAAGAGGTCAAATTGTATACTACTAATGCATCAGTACATTGACTTTCATTGTATGTACTTTAATATCCGATTTAAAAAAATAAACACATCTTATTTCCTCATCTCACGGAATGTAGTTGCACAGTATTTCTGAAGTCTGGTTTTCATCATCATCATCATGACAATCAGGTAAATTGGCGGGAATCTTTATATCTTGAACATTTGCTTTGTTTGACCCCATTCATAATCAAAAGTTATGCACAAATCAAATAATTTATGATTTGGCCAAGCATAATCGTCGCCACAGTCTCTTGAATACACTATCAAAATCGGTATCGGGGAATAATAAATAGATTGCATTAATGCTTGTTCTCCAGATTTTCTGTCACAGTAGAAAAGGTATACCTAGGTTGTTGTACGATACGCCTTTCTTCATTTAACTTGGTGTAAAATAGTTTTGGTCTAAAGTCCACCGTAATCGCGGAGAGAATCCCATAATTGCTTTGTATTACTAACATGATCATGACCAAGGAAACAAAGGAAATGAGCATAAACTACTGCTGGTATTGGGTAATACTTCCTCTCTTCTTACATCTAATACATGTAACAGCAAACATCGCCATAAATGAATAATACTCATCCTCCTATATAAAGGAAAATAAATAGTTAATAATGAATATGTGAGGTGTTCATGCCCCGATAAAATTTTTCCGGTGAACATTATAGAATAAATGGAGGATGTCAAGAAATGTATTGTAATGTTATTTTTTTTCTGTAGAAAATTGATGCTAACATATATGCAGCATTATGACGAGTAATCAGCAGCAGCAGTGTACTTGTACAGGGTTTTTTTTTGTGTATAAGTAGTTTTATTATCGGATACATCATCTAACGGTAGTAATTCCTCACTTTTGCACAAAAAGTTTTGGCATATAGTACGTATAGAGGCGTTTAATTTTGGAACTCCTAAAGGACAATACCTTGTTTATCACTATTTGCAATAAAAATTCCCGAGACGTCGTTAAATCGTCTGCCATTTTCATAATTGACGATAGTAATTGTTTGACACTGAAGAAAAGAAAACAACTTGGTTTCTTTCTAACCGTAGATAATAAATAACAGAAATACGAGATTTGGTTTGACAAAAAGATACATTGCCACAAATAACTTTCTAGAATACACAACGTATCTAAAAGTATTTCCTGTGCTTGACATTTTATCTTATTCTCAAATGAATTATTCTCTGAAATAAAATAATGTGGACACACTGTTTATTTGACATAGTATATAAGCCTCCTGAAAGATCTGTTTCCATTGCAAAATATCTTACACACGGATTAAAATGAATATCAGGGTCTTCACAAACCTCAACAAGTTTGACAACACTCATTATATCTAAATCACTACCTCTCATCTGAATTCCCTCTCCAAAACTGTCGTACCTTTGTCGCTTTGTAAATTGTCTCTAACAGCGTTCATCATTCTGAGAGGTTTTACGTGCTCCTCTGTTCCAACAATATTCTGACACAGATACCTATATAGAGATACTGATGCACTTTGCGTGGCTGGTACTACAAAAACGATTAATTTGAAAAGAGATCTGTAAAACAGATACAAGTATATTCAAATGTCGGCCGATGATTCAAAGTGACAGTTTTGAGAGCGATATTAAAATCGAGTTAACATCAGAGAAGATATGTATGTAAATTGTATGTCGACATGTTCAATATCATTCTGCAAAATGCATCTGTGTTGCCTGAAACAGTGGAATAAATGTTTGTATGTGTCAATAGTGGCAGGGCTCTGCCTTTAAAATAGAGTCTTCCCCATATGTATCGGATAAAGGACAGTAATTGTGACTATAAAAACTACTTTTTTATTCTAATTAAATAGGAGCATTTAACAGTAATAATTTCACTACAAACTGCTCAGAGTTTGAAAAGACCGCAGATTTTACTTGACAAGACTCGACATAATCTCGACAGTACTTAACTGTTCTTAACTGTACTCGACTCTGGTCTCGACAGTACTTAGCTGTACTTAACTGTACTTGACTCTGGTCTCGACTTTACTTAATACGTCTGATTCAGTACTGATACTCTTGGTGTAGTCTGTAATGGTCTCGAAAAATGCTCGACCAGTGTCGACCAGTTCTGACCTGTCTCGACCAGTCTCGACTCAGTCGCGACCGGTACCGACCGGTCTCCACCATTCTTGACTCAGTCTCGACCAGTCTCGACCTGTCTTAACCTGTCTCGACCTGTCTAGACTCAGTTTTGACCTTTAAATTTAGTCTCCACTGGTCTGAATCAACCCATCTAACTCATTTATATATTGATCTTACAAAATTCAAGGTTATTTGTTAGATTGGTTCATTGCTGTCAAATTAAAAGATTTAAATAATAGGTAAAAAAAGCTAGAACTTTTAGTTTTCATTAAATTCAGATAGTCAACTGTAATTATTTCTATAACTTTTTCAAATCAACTTGGATTTTCATAATACTCTACAGCTATCTCAATTATAAATTGATCTTACAGAATGCCATGTTCGTTGGTAGTTTGGTTTATAGCTGTCAAATTTATAAATTTAATTAACAGGTAAAAAAACCTAGAATTTTCAGTTCGTTCTGAATTCAGATAGTCACTTTTAAAATTTGTTATTACTTTTTCAAATCAACTTGGATTTTCATAAAACTTTACAGCTATCTCAGTTATATATTGATCTTACAGAATGCTAGGTTGTTTAGTAGTTTGGTGTATTGCTGTCAAATTTAAAGATCTAATTACTAGGTAAAAAAAGCTAGAATTTTCAGTTCGGACTTAATTCAGATAGACACCTGTACATTTTTTTATAACTTGTTCAAATCAACTTGGATTTTTATCAAATTTTTTAGCTATCTTTATTATATATTGATCTTACAGAATGCCAGGTTGTTTGGTAGTTTGCTTTATTGCTATCAAATTTAAGGATTTTATTTATAGGTAAAATAGCTAGAATTTGCAGTTTGGACTAAATTAATATAGTCACCTTTAATTTTTTTTTTAACTTTTTCAAATCAACTTGGATTTTCATAACACTCTACAGCTATCTCAGTTATATATTGATCTTACAGAATGCCAGGTTGTTTGTTAGTTTAATCATTTATCAATAACAAGGCTCGCCATCAGCATCCTTTTGTGCGTGTTGTTTCAACAAACGATGTCTGACTTGCAAGAAAATACTACACACCAAGACACCCTCGACTGAAAACACATAATTTCTTCGTGTAAATTAAGTAAACAGTATGCTGGCGAGTAAGACCAACCATTTCACAAACGTATAAATGGCTATCGTAGTTACTTTGACTATAAGCCAGACCTACCTCTCAGTCGACATTTGAGACATTTTAGTCACTTTGAAGCAGATATGAACAGTCTGAAACCATTATCAATGACCACAACACTTCATGATGCAGAGAGGAAGGAGTAACTGGTGTAAGATTTTGGATACGAAAGTTGATACGTTAGCACCAAATGGGATCAACAAACAGAGGTTGTTCAAATCAAGCAGCATTAGATGTGTTACAACCCACGCAGCTTGCAAATACTTTATATGTATCTTGTTCACAAGATTATATAATACTAACATAAATAAATGTATGTAGTTTAAAACTATTGAATTGTACCTTTACCTTTTCTACAAACAATTTTCGGTGTTCTATTTGGATAATGGTTAAACATTTTCAAAATTAGTATAGCTAGTGACACCATTTTACAACACACAGTTCATACTAATGAAGAATATTTGATATCTGAAATATTTATCGATTTTTGTTTGATTGTGTGTTCCATGTATCATTTATCACATTCGAAATGTATTAAACGCCAAGTGACAATGAAGGGGGAAAATATGACGACAAATGAGATAATTTAAGCGTTCAAAGTGGTAAATCTTAAATTCTATGTAGCAACTTTCATTTGCGCTTGCATACACGCAGAATGTAATATATTTTCCAAGTCATACTTGTGAGATTTCATACAATAAAAAAAAAACATGTTCTTAATTCTTGGAATGCTTTACTATGATGCTCGTTTAATTAATCATGTCTCATATATTTCATATGTACGTATGCAAAAACTACTACCGACTGTCCAAGAAAGAAGTTAAAACGACTTATTTCTAAATTTAAGAAAACACTAGTGGTAATATAAAATATCAAACACATCAAGAATGATCGACTATATCTTCTAGTATATTACACGGAAGAGATAACAATAAATATATGTTGATATCATTCACGTACTGCGCATGTCTGTCAATAAGGACAAATAAGTCACTGGCTATGTGTGTTTTATCACTTTAACAGGTTCAGGTGTGTCTGTTGTCATTAGCAATTTTAGTAATAAGCTGGAATAACTGTATGACAACCTCCTATGAAAGTATTGTTGTCTGTATAGCTAGTTAAAAAAAATACGTCCAACGGGAATGAAAACAGTAATAAGTTGAAGTAAATGGTGTCTGTTTAAATATCAACAATAGAAAATGGTTGAATTAATTTAAGTTAAAAGTAATAAAATAGCTTTATGCAAATAGATGCAGGTAATCAATATAAATTGTATTTTTAAATGACTTAAAGGCGTAGTGGTGAGTTATCTTACATATATATGAACCTCAAACATTTGTGGTCATGCTACTTACCTTAAATATGATAACTTTGTTTATTTAAACCCTTAATGTACACACATAGTAGAAATAAATTTTCCTTCGTCATTTTTTGATTTCGTTCAATTATATGATGTTGATGCCAACATACTTTA